ATCAAAAATTTCTTTTCTCTTAGAATTCTTCCTTTAAAATTTTTTTAATTTATAAAATAATATTTAATTAATTTAAAAAAAAATCTCAATTAAATCTATTATAAAATTTGAGTTAATATTTTTAACAATTTAAGAATCAAAATTACCAATAAAACGCTAATGGCAATCAGTATAGAGGCCAATACAAAGGCAGATAAGATTTTACCCCCAACGTTGCATCAAAAGATCCACTAACCACTGATATAAACATTTGTTGCATTGCCCGCAATAAGACAAAGCCAATTGATTGTATATATTCATGAATATGATTATAGCAAAGAAAAAAATTATAAAATTAATGTTTGAAAGATAGAAATCATATATACATATATATTATAACATATATAGACACCTAATATGTTTTGCTACATGAATATTTATGTGAATCATTTTTTGAATAACATAAAAGATAGTTTTTTTAAAAGAGTAGGATAATTTTTTTAATTACAAATTAAGTAATCTGTATTTTTTTCAAAAAGCAAAATTATTCAAATTATAATTGAGAATTAAATTAGTATAGATATATGTTTTCTAAAATTAAAAATTTAAAATATGGATTTTGTCTTCATAATAAATAATTTCAGTTGCTTATCAAATAATCTTATTTTAGAAATTATTTAATTCAAAAATTTTTAACATGTTTAAAAGTTACAAAGATTAAATTTATCCAAATCTTTCAATAACCCTTTTATGTTTATTTAAATTAATAAAAAATTATCTTTTCAAAAATTTACCTAAGACATTGAAAATTCATACAACTTTTCATATTAAATCTTTAAAATAATAAGACCATCAAAATGATTATATTCATCGTAACTTTAGTTATAAAATTTATATTTCAAATATATTCAAAAATTTTGATTTCATTTTTATCACTTATTATATCCCTTTTAAATTTAAAAACATTAATTTGAAAATTATCTTTTTAATCTTAATTGCCACTCAATAGTTCTTATACAAATTTAAGACTATAAATACAATCTTTTATCAGTTTTTTTATTTTTTTGTAGTTTGCAAATTTTTTCAAGGTATATTCTATCACGATTGTAATTTTTTTTGTTTACAACCTTTTTTTCCAAGATATATTTTATCACTATTGTAGTTTCATTAAAAAATAATTTTTTTTCAATAATTTTTTTCTTTTTCGTACATCTCCTAATATTTTTCATATTTTATACAAAAATTTAATTAAAATTACAAAAGTAAAAGTATGTTAATACTTCTTTTATTATTTAATTTATCATTGAATAATATATATGTTTTGATTTTTAAGAAATGCATAATTTATTTTTATTTAATATAATCTTATAGGTTATAAATATTATTGTAGATAAAATAGTCCAAAAAGAACATGTTATTTTTTTCTTTTTTTAAAAAGTTTATTTTATAATATAACTCAATATATATGAATTTTATATATATTATAAATTTTGAATTTTGAATATAATTTTAAAGAAAAATTAGTTTATATATATTCATTAAATAGATAAAATTATTTCCTATATCGCACATATCACAATACAATTAACTATGGGTTTTTCTCTTTTCATCCTAAAGGGAAAAAATGCAAGTAAATGAGTAGGGAAACTTTTGCATGTGGCCTAACTATGGGTAAGTTTAGCACTCCCAAAGAAAGCCCTACAATTTTGATTAGAACATAACAGTTATAGTATAATAAAATAGTTAATATGATTCTTCAACTATAATAAAATTTTCAACAAAACCAACAACAATTGCCTAATTACTTGACCAGCATCAGGAGTAGAGCTTGAACAAAAATTTTTAAGTAAGCGTATGCATTACCCAAAACGTTTTCGATAGTCATGAAAAAGGAGTACCACCCATTTGCAATTCTTATTCTTTTATGTTCATTTGCGGAAAGGTAAGCCAGGAAAGCACGACATGGACCTTGTAACATTTTTTTTTTTTTTTTTTGCTAAGTAAGTTTATTGATTGAGAGATAAAAATCTTTTAGTTGTCCAAAATACACCCAAAACAACAATGAAATCCGCGAAACACTAAGCAATCCCTCAAAAGGAAACCAGACTTCTTAAACAAAAGATAATATCAGATAAAGCTAGAACCCTTAATCAACTTATAAAACTCTAATTGAGAACCTCATACAATGAAATCACAACAAAATAGCAAGTAACCTCTTGATCTTGATGAGAATCAACACTAAAAACCAAATCAGCTCAAAGGACACCTGACTTTACCCATTAAGTTGTCAGACCATTAACTTCTCTAATTATCATAGAAACTTCATTCTTGGAATTCTATTACACCATAATCAAGCTGAAAGTTTGAAAATGCCACAGTCAAGAATAATTCATTTAAATGTTTTCCCATCTTTGTAAAGCTTCACTTTATACAACCAAAGTAAGACTATATGCCAACGGGCAAGCACCAATCCCACATCCATGAAAACACGTAATACCTCAAGCCACATCTTCCTTTGCCAGAGAATCAACCATGCCATTAGATTCTCAATATGCATTTTGATATAATCAATGACCAACCTAATCATTGGCATCCAAAATCATCCATCTCTTCCTTTCCATTAACAACTAGAATCAACTAAAAAAAACACATTTCACATTAAATGCGATCTGACAGAAGCTATGTTAAGCAAACAACAAAAATCACCTTGCTGATTATACTTGTGAACAAAACATGAGTATCTAGACTAACAGCATAAACCATAGCTACTAAGATCTGTCGTTCTTCTTTTAGCACTAATTAACAACAACAACGGAATCAAATTCCACCAACTAAACAAGAAAACCATCCCCACTTTGCTGCATAAACTACAGACCAACTAGCTATAATAAATCAGAAAATATGCACAATTAATCGAATTCCACCAAACTCATCTTGCAATGGCCCAAAACTTCTAAATGTTGTTTCAAGCTTGTTTCAAATACTCTGACCATCAACACCTTTACCAAGGATTAATAAAACACCAATTTAAACATACCAATCATCGTTAAAAAATCAAATAATGCCCATATGTTAAAGCCCCAAGCTGCCAATAACTGATCCTAAGAAAAGAAATCAATCACAGCAGTGGCATTTCATCATTTTATAAACCCTAAACAACAGATAATGAGCCCCAAAATCCAACGAGCTTTGGCTTCTGTAATTTTCCATTTCTTCATCAATAGTCTTGGTAATCCTTCTCAAAATATCATTATGATATCCTCTAATAATCCAGGACCATATAATCACACCCATAATGCCATCTCAATACGCTAGAAACCTATTAGTCTCCTCATTTTAGACTCCTATATGTCACTCCAAACACCTTAATAGATCCAAAAAACTCATTCGCTTATTGACATGCTAGAACACATAAGATTCATGTACTAACATCATCACAATTTCATTAAGATTCACTAAAGTCTTCACAACTCAACTTTCACATGACTAGCCAAGCCTCTAATCCCTTATTAAATCCTCATATTCAAAACTCTAGGAGATAACAACAACCTAAATTCGACAGAAATACAATAAAGTGTAGAAACAAATCTGAGCTAATTAGGATTGCCTTAAATCCCTAGCCTCCAATTCAAGTAACCTATAAATCACAGTATCGTTGTCACAATTAGCCTTTAAACCCAACTTTTTCTCCACCTCCCAGGTCGCTTGAGCCTCTTTACGAATAACATTTAATTGATTCTAAAAATCCCCATCAGAAAGGGATTCATTTGCGAATTGCTATACGCAATTTTGGATTTAGAAGCTTTACTTTTCACGCTAGACTTTTTACCTTTGTTCTTTCCTTTCAAGGAATTTTTTTTTTTTTTTGTTCAAAGCCTCCTCAATATCCTCCAGCGCTTGGTTTTTCTCGCATGCCTTTTCTGTGTCAGACAACCCCTCTTTTCAACTTGATATTCAGACTATAATGAAAGAGACAATGGATAGGTTTCACGCTTCAAACTTAACGACCCAGACATAGATGCTTTACAACGACTACCCTTAGTGGGATCTTGGTTTCTTGAACCATTAAGTCCAACTTCAGAGCCTTTTTCCTTACCCCCATTAAACCCAATTGAAAGTACCTGATCGTTTGAGCTATTTTTCCCACCTAGCTTATTCTCTAAAGTATCACTTTCATTTGGAACTTCACCCATAATAGCTGTATCCAAGCCAATACCCTCGTGTTCGATGCCTCCTTTTCGAGCAATATGCACCTATCCTCAGTCTCAGCAACAACCTTGACCATTGAAATCTTTATACTACCATTCTCACCACTTTATCCTTCCTTACAGTTGGCCTGTTCATCTTTCACGAATTCTTTATCACTGAAATTTACCAAGACACTCTGATCAAAGTGTGAGTTACCTTCATTTCCGGTGTTTTCAACCATGGATGTTTTACAATGGCAATGAAATAATGAGACAAATTCTGAACCAATTTCAGTGACTCTAAATGGAAAGGAATTTTCACTACACTTTATATAAACAACTTCGTCAATTTTATCCGATTATTAGTCATAATTACCATAGCTCCCCTACTAAAATCTTGAAACTTTAACGTAGCACCATCAAAGCTCAATAACTCACCCCAGATTATTAGCAATGTTCTTGAAAGTGGAATAGTTCCAGGTATGAATAGGTACTCCAAAACAAGTCAGCCACGTAGTTCAACATTTTAATAGAAACTTCTCCGACCTTGGTTCAACTTCATCAAACCACTCTTTTAGCCATTACCAGCCAAGGTTCTTCATTGTATTCATCATTTCTTCATCTTTAAATTTAATTAAGAATTGCCTGCCCGAGATTTTTTTAAAAACTATATCAAATACCCTTTGTATTTTAAAATTCTCCATGAGCCTCCATGTTTCATAGTATCCCTTAGTGACTCCAATCAAGCATTTATCCAACTTGTGCAAAACTTCATCATCCACTACTCCAGGACACGATTTTATATTAGCAGTCGCACAACCATCCTCAATAACAATGCCCCAACCTCAGGGCCAATATCGTCGAGAACTCAGTTCGCTGTATTCGAAACCTCATATTGCCTAAACGTTTGAAGATACGTTTTTCGATTGACAGCAACATCATTGCCAACAAAATGCCTTGAGACCGTTCCATCCTTACCTTGATTGTTTAAGCCAAATCTCTGATTCTCCGAACCTTGATTGCCACAACCCCATGATTCACCATTGGTTGAGCTTTTCTCCAAAAAGTTAATCTTCCATCGAATCTATCTAGATTGACACCAACCCAAAAGCCAAGTTCCATTTAGAATATAAGCAGCTCTCCTAGCACCCTCTATTTTGGAAAAACGAACAAAACCAAACTTCCTACCTCTACTACTCCATTTCTTTGGGATAAAAACATCCACAACTTTTCCATGATTCTCGAGAACCTGCCATAGCCTATCGCCAATGAACTTGCGGATGAATGTTATTCACAGACACTGTAAAGACTATGTTGTTTATCATGTTCAACTTGAAATCGTGTAAGAGTTATTACAGACCTTGTAACATGTTGTTAGACACATCAAGAATCCAGAAACCTGTAACGAAGATAACAAACACCCTAGGCTCTGTGGATTTTTACAGCGAATCATTAGCTCGGTGGCCTATCATGTCTTTAGCGAAGCCAATGAGGAAGACAGCCATGGCAACGGAATAGACTCAAACAGCAACATAAGGTCAGCGACGACCGAAGCGAGATGTCTAACTGTCTCTGCTGTAGACTGTAGCCTACAATGGGTTGAACGAGGACGCCAGAAATGGGGCCAAAAATCTAAATGGAGGCACCCCAGACGTGAGGGACGCCAAGGGCTTGAGCATAAAGGGTTAGAAGAAAAAGCTGCAATGCCCACCTGGACACCTAAATTAAAATTTGTATGTAATGAAAATTTTAAAATATTTATAATTTATGAAGTTAATAAATAATTAAAATTATTTTATATTAAATAATAATTTTTTAATATAAATAATTAAAAATTAATAAAAATGGTAACAATATACATCAAATAATTGTTTTTTAATTGACACTAATATATTAACATAAATTGAAACTTCACAAAATAATATTCAATTACTTATTTTTTATATTTTTATATGATAATTTTTTCTCAAAATATTCATTATTTCTTAAAAAGATGTATAATAAACCATTTATCATATAAAAAATAACTAATATTTATTGTCTTTTATCATTTATGTAAATATTTATTTTAGTTAACTCATATTAATTACAAAGATATTTGTTTTAATTTATTAATTTTTTATTTGATTATAGAATTTATTACTTATTTATGTATTTATTTAATTTTTATTTATTTATTAATTAGTTTTTATTATATATAAAATTTATTTATTATATTAAGTTAACAGAATCATTTAAAAAATTTAAATAAAAATAAAATAAAAACAAAAAGTAAAATGAAAATAATAGGCTGAGTACATTTTCATGTTTAAATTAGAATCTCAAAAGAAAATAATAATAATAATAATAATAATAATAATAAAAACGACGATTATTTAGAAATAAAAGGTCGGAGAGCTTTTTAACTTAAGCTTAAGGGACCAATTTTAGGTGTAGCACGATGGAAACTCATTTCTATCGTGCCATCCATGTAATCCAAATGGTTTATTGGGTACTAAACATGATTCAGCATGGACAATAGGCCATCCAAATAGTGCCTAAGATATAAGCAATATTTTGATGATTATTTGATTGATTATTGCAATCAAAGAATATATATTTAAATATTTATATTTGATATATTGTCAGTGAATAAATTTTATATATTATTAGTAAATTAAAATTTTTTTAAAATTAAATTTTTGTATATTTATTTTAAAAATCGATATTTACTTATTAATAAAATGATATCATCTGATTTATTGATAGTATATAAAATTTATATATTGACAGTATATCAAATACAAATTAATACATTGTCAGATGAAGTGAATTATACATAATAAATTTGTGATCCTAAAAACAGCAAAACTTAAATATACTTTTGTGCAAAACCTTTTAACTTATTTTTTATTATAAATAAAAAGACATTTTTTTATAACATAAATAAAACGTTTCTAAAGAAAGATAAGTGTATAAATGTATTTGATAATTTCTCTAAAAATAATTGCACAAAAATTTATTTTAAACATCAAAACTTATATATTAAAAGAATTTTTAATGAGAAGATGAATAATAAATAAAAAGTATTAATCATAATTAGTGATGATAATATATATGTAAAACCTATATATAGTTGTTTTCAAATTTCATGTGCAATATGTCTTTTCCATTGCTGATTTTCTGATCTAAGTGATAATTCCATTAATAATTAATAGTTAGGGATGATAATTGCGGTACTTATCTAACTATAATTAGACTCAATTACAATATTTATAATTTAGAGACAAAAATAGGAAAAACAAAAAAGTTAGAGGACCATCTGAGTAGTTTATCCTTTTCGTTGAGTCCAATAAATAGATTCTCGCTAGTGGTGTTGAAATGATCGACTATACTTACCCAAGCTTGACCCAATTTTGGTTGAGCTTTTGGACATTAGATTTTTAGGTAGGCCTTAGTACTCAATCCAAGTAAATTATTTTATTAATAAATAATATATTTATTTAATTTTAATTTTAAAATATATTTTAAAATATTAATATAAAATACTATTGAAAATAATAAAATAATAGGAGCTTCTATTTGAACCAAGGTTTTTGCTATCAACACTCCTATTTTTTTCAAAACTCACCTATAAGAAAAATTATTTAATTACCCTTTTTAATTTTAAAAGTATTCGGATATGAAAATCCAATAAATTATTTAACTTACTTAATTTGAAAATTTGATAAATTAAATAACTTATTGGATTTTCATATCTGGTAAGTTATTTAACCAATCTCTTATAAATCTTAAATCCTAAACTCAAAAATTCAGTTGAAGAAAAAAAATCTCATATCTTGAAGAAATTTCATAGTATTGCAAAAAAAAAAAATGATATGTTTCAAATAATTATAAACTTATTTGCAAATTAATAGACAAAACTATAACTTTAATAAAAAAGAGTACTTAGTTATAGTATGTGGGTCTTTGAACCTTTTTTCTTATTCAACAATATGGGAGAGGAGAAATGATCAATATTCCTAATGAGAGTTAGAAACTTTTAAAAGCTTATGGATATGTGAATCTCAAAACTTTTAAAAGTTTTCAAATTTGCAAAGTTGGAGACTTTTTGAGAAAGAGTAATTAAGTAATTTCATTTGGAGATAATTTAAAAAAAGGGGGGGTGTTAAGGTTAGAACATGTATTAAGGTTGTTTCATTGAAGGTTGTTTCACAGAAAAGTTATTCATGAAATAGTTATTTATGAAATAGTTGCCCATGGAACAACTCTTTTATGGAACACCACATTCACTAAGCAACCTTTCTAAAGAATAATACCAATACCTTTATTGAAAACTCTTTCATAAAAATTGCTTTACTAAAAAATATTCTACAATAAACTTTTCATCGAATGTAATCTCACTGAAAAGAGGAAGTGAAAATAACCTTATAATATGATAAGGTTTTTGGGTTAATTTCACTATTGGAATGCTTCGGAGAGTTTGGCTTCATGGATCATATATAGAGATAATTAAGAGGTCTCCTCTTAACCTTTCTTTTAAGTATGAGTGTTTTTCATTCTTTTTAAAATAAAGTAGTGAACTTCTATGTTCATATATCTATCATTAAAAGTTAATTAAACTCTTAATGACAATGCATTAACACTTTTTGCAATTGTAAATTCTACCATTATTCCCATTTAATACTTAAAATTTGTAACTTTTATTCTTGGAATCTATAAATAAGAGTTTCTATAATTCATTTGGGGACTTTTAGACTTTGGCAAATTTTTCACCTTTCTCTCAAACTTTCTTTACAATTCCTTTTTCATAACTTCCTTTTTTAACCATATTATCTCCTTTCCTTAACCTTATTTTCACCATCCACCACTACCTACCACTACACTCAATGCTTTAAGGTCTGCTTCAGTCTTCTGCTCTGCCATCTCTTGGCACATCTCATTTTACTTGTTTGCAATGCTTCATCACCTCACCCAAAAACCCTTTTACATTTTGATGACTCTATTTGAAAGAGTGATTGCATTAAATAAAACATTTCTTGACCTTGCTTTGTCAAAAAATGGAAGATTTTATTGGAAACCAAACTGTTCAGACCCTGCTTACATCTAAGAATTGATGAAAATGATTCAAACTTCTTAAGATGGGATGCAAATGTTGGATAAACTATCTTTCAACTTACATATTTCAATGACACAAACTTTTAGCCTAAACTACCACTAATGGGAAAGGAAACATTTCTAATGGAATTATTCCCTTACGAATGGCAATAAAGAAAACACTTCAGATGTGTCTAATCTTGGGGTTAATGAAAATCTTGGAATAAATAACATATTGGCTATTGGTTATTCTACTGTGACTTTTTTTTCAACCACAACTCAAGAATTTGTCACCAAAAAAAAAAATTTAAAAGTTGTTTGAGGAAAAAAACAAGAGTATTAAACTTTTCTGAATTTGATCCTAAGCTAACTTATCCTACTAAAGTGATTGCTAAGTCATATCCTAAAAACTATACTAGTCTTAAGTTTAAGCAATTTAGTGGTAAGACTAGGGATGCTTATGAGCATGTAATGAAGTTTGTGGAAACTCTTAAAGTAGCTAAATTGGATGATGATTTGAAGTTGAAGGAATTCTCCAAAGTCTCTTATTGAAAAGGCTTACACCTAGTATGTCAATTTTACACCTTGCTTTGTTGAATCTTGAAATTAGATATGTAAAATGTTTGGAGAAAAGTTTTTCTCTACCAAAAAGAAGGTTACCCTAACTTAGAAAGATAACATCAGAAGTTACAAGAAGTTCTTATGGAATACATTTAAACTTTAAAGAAATAGTGGTGGACATTTAAGATTCTCATAATGAGAAAGAGATGATGAAAGTGTGCATCCAATGAGTGTTTGATGAGTATAGGGTACATTTAGAGAATTTACCTCTTCCAACTTTTGTTGCTTTGGTTGATACTACAAGAAAAATCAACAATATGATTTTTAAGCAACAAGAAGTTAGCTGTTTCATTATAAGGAGTACTTCAATAGTGAATGCAATTCAATAAGAAGTAAGATAAAGAAAAAGACCTTCTCATCCTAATATGTACCTTAGAATAGACAATCAAACAAGAAACTAGATGATGATACTAACTTCCTATTATTTTTTGTTCTAATAGGCAAAGGAAAAACACTTCTCCAAGAATGGATCAGAGATAAAAATGTGAATCTACCAATGTTTCACAACCACTAACAGTAGAAAAAAAATCTAACCTAAAGTATTGTAATTATCACTAAACGGTTGGTTATTCACCTTTTGAATATAAAGACCTTCATAGAATATTCCATTGAATAGTACAAGCAATAGAGGTGTGATAAAAAATAACGAATTTTAGAATAATCCATTCTCAACCTATCAAAATCCCCAAAGGCATGTGAATGAAATCATTCATGCTAACTATAATGATCTTTCTTCTTTAGCTAGACCTAACAATTTAAAACATGACATGGTGACACGAATATGATACAAAAATAGGAAGGTGACACAGTTTAAAATTGTAACAATAACTATATATGGGTTTAATAAAACAAAAAATTTATATTTCATGTTTTCATGTTAATGTGAATTGTGACATGAAATTTTAGTGTAAAATACTATTTGCATACATAAAATTTAGTATTTTACGTGATATGAATACACAAATTACTAGGTCTTTAACTACTCAATCTGAAGATGAACAAGTAACAAGTATGGTTACCTTTTATATTACAGATT